CGTGACATACTTAGTGGAGACCTCATAGAAAGCGGTGAGTGTGCAAAGCTGCAAAAAAAAAAAAAAAAAAAAAAAAAAAAAGTTTCTTTGTTTGGTTATGGAGGCGTCTGGCCGAGTGAGTTGCTATCAACTTGACCTTTCCAGGCTCTGAAGAAAGCGAAATTCGCCGAAACGTCAGCTTAATCGTGAACAAGGAACAATAACACCTCGCGTTTGCTCAAAAAATACGAACAAAATCTCTCGACTATTAACGTAAACCAAGGCTCATGGTTCCTCTTTCATCTGGATGAAGCACGACACATTCAACACCACATCGTCCTTCCTCCGGGTAAAGAGTGACCTCCATAATATTGAAAATACATTCACCCTCTCACTACCAAAAGGTGAATTACTGAAAATCCAAGCACAAGTCATAAAAACAATCTTCATTTTAAAACATGACATACACATCATAAACAACAGTGAAGAACTGTAATGAAATATAAAATTTTCATTAGAAAGTATAAATCAAAGTCTATAGTACCACTAGATAACTCTGTCGGAATGTGTTATAGTATCACTGGTGAGCTCAATAATCATATAAAGAGTCTCTACGTAGGTATAGAGATTAACAAGTTTATCCCCAAATGTTAAATATGCTGAAAATAAGCCTAAAGATTGCTTTCAAGAGCAAACACTAAGAACTCTTTATACATAGAACTCTCGTATGTTGTCAAATACTAGTGCCAAACACTTACAAGTGTCATACTTTAGTTAATAATGGTAAACAATAAACATACTACCAGCGATAGTAATGTCTGCATACTCAATTACCTTCTTCTAGACTACTTCTTCTCAACAAAATCCAAATTTAGCTTAAAGAATACGTAAGGATAGTATTCGTTTACTCCCAATGACATCAAAGCTGGTGAATCCTCCAATGTCTGAAAATTACAGAATTAGAAGTTACACCACCCTTACACAACAGCACCATAGTTATCAAAAGCAAAAAAAAAACAACAATTGAAAATTACACAAGTAACCGCAGGATTTGAGAATACTACACTCCTATACTCTATTTCTTGACACGTATCTGTAGCACTCAGTAAAAATACAAGCTTTCTTAGACAACCAATAAATTGTAAGGTTCACATGTCAAATAAAAGCCCTAAGGGTTCGACGGGTGATGTAACAACGGCATAACGTCCTCATTTTATAAACTCACTGATGCAAGCTTCACGACTGCGAAGAGACGCTTATGCAAATTAGTCGATAGATAAATCAAAGGTCTGGACTTCTAAAATCCAGAATAAATAACTTATAGAGAACACATAAATGAGTTAGATTAGCAATGCCGAGAAGTTCCTAGAATTCCTATTCTATTTTTTGACCTGGTCTTGTTAAGTTCAAAGCAACTAGGAGAAGAGACTTTAAAACTTGCTAACCTATATTCAATTAGCCTACAACGCAACTTATAATAGGCAAAACGTGTTCTAAAATATGTCCATTTACTTCACATAGAATTTTAAAAAAGTCACATCTCGGTAACATAAATAGAAGGAGAACAAATATGAGACCGAGTTCTCCGAACGATCCATGGTCGAATTCCTCAGTGAAAGAAGGGATCCGTAGTACAACTTGACACATGAATCATTTCTTAGCTAAAGGATTGCTGAGCCAGAGTTGACTGATGAAACTCTTAGCGCCAGTACGAACTAGTCCAATTTTCTCTTCTCAGCAATTTTAGTTGACAAATGTTTTCTTCAACATATTAGATGTTTTTGTATAATACCTAGAGGATTTATTGTGAGAATATACCCAAAATAATTACAACAATGAATGAATTCAAGATCGAAGTCAATCTAACCCATTTGCGAAAGTTCCAGGTTTTCGAGTACTGATGATAATTCCCTAAATAACAGGTTAGCTAAGGATCTTACAATTCGCATACTGATAGACAACACTTCGCCCCATCATTGCCAACGTTCTTAAGGAATTACGTTTCCAAAAAACTGAAGAAGAAATCCCACTTGGTCAACCGTTTTGGTCTTCAAAATATTAGTTCTAACGGAAAGAGACGACAAAAAAGGATGTTTACGGCCTCCGGGAAATAATCCATGTTTATACAAGAACAAGGATAATAAGTGGACTTAACTAACTTAGACACAATAATCAAAAAGTTCACTATGAACAAATATGTTCGCTTAAAGTTGATGGCGACAATTACCTCCACACCATATACATTGAAATCAACGATTATCGCCATAAATTGGTTTAAAAAACCAAACTGGTAGCGCTATAGACAGAACATCAACACACAATGGAAGAACAATGATAAATAAAAAAAAAGCTCTCGGCGTTGATCAATTCCTGAGGGATGCACCATGCATTCGACTTCATTAAGCGTCGTTGGAGGTGACGGAATGCATATCTGGCCTTTACGTGAGTAGTGGTGGACTACCGATTTATTGAACCACTGCTGCTATCCTCTCAGACAAGTCTGGTACCAGTTTGCCGACCCGGAGAGATGAAAGGATTGGTGGGCCATAGGTGTGGAGATCGATTGCACGTGTGTGTTGCAGGGCACTTACGACCACGCGCCCTTATAGACAAGGATAGTTGACATAATAATAAGCACACCACCCAACGATTTACCGCCGCATCGTGGTGTTCCTGGGTATCGGGCTGTGATGTACAGCGGGTGGATTCTTTCCTCAGCAAGGACTCCTAAGCTGAGTCCTGCCTTACCAACAGGAAACCCAGCTAAGAGTAAACCAGTACCAGGACACACCACCGTCCTGGTATTAAAGTCGCATGGTGACAAATCTCCCCCTAATCCACAAGGGCGGCGAATGCATGTGGTAGTGACGACCTGGGGCAGACTTTGGTCAGGCTGACCTCGGGATTCCAGGGAAACAGTGTAAACCAGCAAATCTCCGGAAAAGTAGAGGTTATGCTGAGGCCTGCACAACTTGAGGATAAACCTTTCGAGTTTTCAAGTAATTAAGCAGTAATAAACACAGGTAGCAAATAATATAAATGACGCATTATTGACAAGTGACAATGCGACATATTACATATATACATATGTATATATGTACATCACATTTGCATACATAATTGAAGACATAAGTCTAATATATTATGCAGGCATATAAAACATACATAGACAAAATATAAATGAAGCGTGTAGCGCAATAACAGCGATACTGTTTATTACACGCAGAAACTGAACCCGACCCTCCTGAAACCAACGTACTCTTCCATCTTTTAGGGATTGTGATATTAAGAATAGACTTATCTACTAAGCTCCGTCTGATCAAGAATGGCTGGCGGCGGCTTCCGGAAAAGACCTAAGATCGCCCTAAAGCGGCCACCATAAGACCTGGGGAGAATCAAATCGACAAGCATTAAACGGTATTCATAAATAGAACCAAAAATCCTTAGTTAAAGTCCGAAATTATACATAAATTCAAAAACCTTGATAGATTATGGATACAAGCAAACAAATCGAAGGAAAGAAGCGCTGGAATCCGCACAATATGTGATGCCAGGTGATGTAAAAACATTTCTAAATACATACCATCATGTAGATATAGAGTCCTCCATACAATACCTAACAAAACATCAGTGATGATGCTGTCGACTTAGTCCAAAAAGAATTTCAAAAGAAACAGTACGTCAAAACGAACAAAGGAAAAGAACGGTGAATAAGTGACTAGCAATTCTATTAACTACTAAACAAACTCACGTCAATTGGACCTGCGGCAGAACCATCAAGATGTATATAGAGCTTATGAAGTTCGGCGCGAAGTTTCTTTTGACTTCCCTTCGAAGGCTCTACTACGGCTGCTTGAAAGTTAACTGGTAATCCGTACCTGAACTTGAAAAAAGTTGGGCAACTAAACATGAATGAATGAATTAATCTAATAAGTAAAACAAAACGGCGCACCTCAACACAGACTCAACAAACACCCGCAATGCTTTCACGTGGATGTACGCTGCAAAGATTTCCCCGAAGTTGATTTTCAACCATCTTAAAAAGGATGATTTACAAAAAGCATCATGAATCTACATCTAAATCGACATTCCTACCTAATCAGTGGTGCGTACTGTCTCTGCTTCTCTGCCACTAATTTGTCACGCTCGTTTTTGCCAGCTTTAAGAGACTCTTCATCATAGACGAAGTCCCGAACAATAAATCTGGTAACAAGGAAGCTTTGAGAGAACCGTAGACATAAGTCGCGTAAATTGCACTCACTTGTTCTCCCTTGCGACCGTCTTAAACTCCTCAATAACTTTTTTGAAAAGAGTAACGGAGTAGAGCGCAAGATCGCCCTCTTCTGTGATAAGTTGCGTAGACCCAGGAACAACCATCGACGTAAATGTGGAATAGCGTTGCTCCCACTCCTTCGCATTTATCCTGGAGGTTTGGACTACCGAAGCTTTGTAATAAAGACGAAAAGCCATAATTAATTTAGGAAGCATAAAACTAACTTTGGTACAACCACCATGAGTGTCTGCAGGTACTCCGAATTCAGAACGAAATCATCGGCTTTGACGATGTCCGCAAGATCCTTTGTTATCAACGACCCACTATAAAAGTACATACAAATCTCAACAAGCCATTTCCTATACATTCTCTTTGTTTACTGCTTCTAAACAATGGCTGATTTCATTTTTAAAACAGGATATTTGCTTTTAATTACTAAAGCGTTAATCAAAATTGATCCCATTGCAATCCATGTCGTGGTTTAACTCACAAACACAACAGCATTGTTGAAATTCTAAAACACAACTACACTAGTCTGAACCTCGTTCCTCGAAGTATTGTTTCTATGGACAAGAGAAAACTATTTACGTCGTCTTCCTGTCGATCGACGCTAGACTGTTCTTCAGGTTATTGTACGTGATTGATTTCTGCTTCAGGTCATTGTCGATTTGAGTCACTTGCTAAAACAAATCAGCTCAATGAAAGCAAAACTCCAACGATCAAAATCAAGTCATATATCACTCTAACACTTTTACCTTCCCAATTATCTCACTTAGAACTTTAAGAGACTGCTTGAGTGGATATTTGGCACCTTCCCACTGGAATTTCGTCACATATGTCTTTATGTCCTCTAAACAATAATATCAAAACGAAAACAGGATACATGGAAGTCTTGGAAAACAAGTAGACCTCTAGGACACCTGTTCAAAGCACCAGTAATAGAGTGTACTGAACATCACTTACTATTGTTAATCAACAAGTTCTCAGCCAACTTGCTTCGGTCGTCCTCGAGAACATCACCAAAGTACTGCACTAATTTGCGAGTGACTCTAAAAACATCGGATAAACAAATGCGGAGCTAACGTTCGCTTTGTTTCGACTAACTCATAACAAACAAAAAAACCACATAACTCCAAAAGAAGTTAGATAGTGATGAAATAAATCACGCCCTCTCATCAAAACTACAACTTATTGGTAACAGCTCGCTCTCAGAATATTGGCTTTCATAATTTCACAAATACCATACGCTTCAGCTGAGCTATCCAATTTGCCGAGATCATCTGAAAGACCAACAAGCTGATCGAGAGTTCCAACCTAAAAACACGCATCAAAATAAAGCCATTTGAAGAAACTTGAATGCAACAATAACAGCTGTTTTAACTATTGCAAATCGTTTCTGAAGATGTAAAAACTGTCGACGACCCTGCTCCCGACACTAGTCAGCGATTTGGTAGATACCACATTAAAAAATGATTTAGAAAAGACAGCTCACCTTAAGATCGGGGATATTAAACTTTGAATTATTCGAAAGATTTGACGTTGCTCGGTTCAGCTTATCCCAAGCATCGTTGGCGCCTTTTTCACCGGGTGCAGATATCAACCAGTATTCACCGGATAAGGCAGACATAACTAAAAGTTTTTTAAATTTCATTTCATTTATTCATACTAATACATTCAACGTGCACAACGTACTCAAGACGACGATGCAACACAACGAATCATAACATAAACAGATGAACGAGAAATGATTGAAAGGGGATACAATGGATACCAGACATCAGCGTTTCGAACAAGATGAAACATACCTAAGCTATACAATTGACAGCAATTACTAGGATCGTAAAAGTTCTTACAACATCAAATGTTATATAGGTAAACCTTGATATGGTTATTCAACGGGGAATAACACAATCACAGATGAGAGTGAAACTACAATGTACGCAACGAGATTGGGTAGGAAAAAAATCAAGCGTGAAAGTACAAAAACACTTTTAGAAAATTAACTGCACACGTATTAGAAGACTATGTACGTTCGTCAGACTAGCAGGGCAGTTTTTTTCCAGGCCTCATTCTTCGGATCTTGCCTGCACTGCTTAACACCATCAATAAATTACGATGTTCCGAGGATCAGGGCGACAATCATGCCGTAGAGTCCAAGCACTTCAGAAAAAATAAGAATGAGAATCATTCCGACGAATAGACGAGGCTGCTGCGCTGTTCCACGAACACCAGCATCTCCCACAATTCCAATGGCGTATCCGGCTCCGAGACCGCATAGGCCGCACGTAAGTCCTGCTGCCAAGTGGGCAAAACCTTTATTGAGATTATAGCCCTCACTTGATGCTGTGACCTTTCCTTTCAGTACCATAGCAACAACCAAACCATAGATACCAATGATACCAGCCATAATAACCGGAATTACAGACTTCATTATAAGCTCGGGTCGCATCACACCCATCGAACAGATGCCGACGGCCGATTTTGCTGTACCATATGCAGCTCCCATGACGGTGAAGATCTGCGCCGATGCGGCTCCCATGTACCCAAAAAATGGAGCGTATGCTGGACTCTCGGCTGCTGCAAGATCGTACGACATTCCTCTTAAAAGAATGAACTTTAGGTTAATTAAAACACCATAGGAAAGCAATAAAAAAACATGAATATTAAGAAACTTAAAATGAGATATTCACGTAAACATAGAAGGATATCTAGGCACATTATAGCTCAAAGGATAAAGCTCCCGGCCTTGATCAATCCCTGAGGGATACGCCATGCGTTCGGCTTCATTAAGCATCGTTGGAAGCGACTGAATGCATATCTGGACTGTGCAATGGCTTCCTATGGCCTACCGATGTATCGAGTCAGAGCTGCTACACTATCAGACAGGTCTGGTAACAATATGGCGAACCCGGAGAGATGGAAGGCTTGATGAGCCTGGAGCCAGGGATTGATCCCATGGGTATTGCAGGGCGCCTCTAACCATTGTGCTACTCACGCCCTTCTAGGCACATATTCGAAAAAAAACATATGTTCCTTACTATTAAGAAAACAGACCAACCTTTGTGAAAATCTTCGCTTCTTGTACAACTCTTTATGTTGGGGTAAAAAAAAAACTTCCTTCTAGGGTATCCCCGCTATAAAAACATTTTGAACGATATGCATGAATGAAGATGAATGTGAAATTGATGGAATCCATAGTAAATTGGAAGTAAAAGCCTAAACCTAACGCTTCTCTAGAGAAATGTAACGAACACATCCGAAATCATGCTAAACCAGAAATTTTGCCATAATCCAACAGTTGTAATGTAGTCGTATTGTGCTAAAAAGTACTGGGAATTCCTAGCTTAAGGTCAACATTTCAGGCCCCTTATAAACTACGGTTTTAACAAACAGAAGTCGAAAATTTTAGTGGGTCTTTTGCATAGTACTTCGAAAACTCAAACCATAGCTATGTTCTTTTTCATATGCTAAAGAAGAAGAAAACAGGCCGCGTGAAGCGCAGTGGTCGGAGGCGCTCTGCAATACACATGGGATGAATCCCTGCGAACCAGGCCCCAAGGCTTCCACACCTCCGGGATTGGGAACCTGATACCAGACTTGTCTGGAAAGATGGCAGCACTGGTCTAACACATCAGTAGGCCACCATGACTCATTGCAAAGGCCAGATATGCATTCAGTCACCTCCAACGGTGATGAATGAAGTCGAATTAATGGCGCATCACTCAGACATTGATAAACGCCAAGAGCTTTATCGTTTATCCCTTAAAGAAAAAGTAGACACTAATCGGTTTACATGAGCTATCTTTGGAGACGTCATAATGATTCCAGTAACATCAGACATAAGAAAGAAGCACACTTCTAGATGATGTCCCCTTTCGTTTTGTCGGTGGCTGCGAACTGTGAACAACTAACAAATGAAAAGAAAACAAGAGAATCTTTTATGGATACCGAAAGAGATATGAGGATCACAGATGACTAATCCATATCTTGAAACTTACAGATAGGTACTTAAAAACACCCAAAGACTTCCAACAGTAGACTGCAGAAGCAGTACAACTAAAGTCCCAAGATCGATTCTCGGTCTCTGGCTAAACGCCGACGGTCTCCATTCGTTGCGGGACACCACCGACTGCGAACACAGATCACCATTTACGCAAATTCACGTACAAAGGAAATGCTACGATTCTTCAGACTTTTCGATCAGTGCTTGAGTTAGTTCTGCTCGATGTAGTGTGCTGTTAGGGAAGTTAAAGGTCATAGCGTTTTTCACTAGATGCTGTATTTGATCTGCAAACACTGCAACATTATTTGTCATTCTGAGTGTTGTTTCTTGTTTGCATCTTTCTATTCAACCTGTTTTAGGATGGCAGGCATAGGAATATTCTAGTATTCTCGATGAATATTTTTCGACACTGCTACTGATATACGAAACTTCTGGATCGAAAGAGTTTCTGTCTATAGGAGGAAACCAGTATATGTTTCTGCATATGTTCGATTCTACGTATGATTTCTTTGAGGATCTGTTGTAAGATCATTCAAATCGACTCGGATCATCTGCTCCGAGGAAGACGAAGACGTCGAGGGGTTAGTCGACTGAAGTCTATTTTATCAGTCTCGTTTTAGCTCATCACTGATGGAACACGTATTGGTCAGTCATGCCGATGCTAAAGGAAAGTCGAATGTTTGAAGTGCACATTGTTACAACCACAATGATGCTGAGATATTTGCAAAACCCGGACCTCTGTCTGTGGCGTGGAACGGACGTGTTATTACCCTTTTTGGGGGCTAACGCGTTCACCACCACACCATGTGTATCCCTCGTTTCGCCTTTCTCTCAGCTGTGTTGTATAAGAGCTATATTGTTTGAGTTTTAAAAGGGTTTCTTCAACTATAGACATAATATTGGAGGTAGATAATCTCATAAAACTTGTGTTTGTGGTGTTGCAATAGTCAAGTTTTGCTTTGTTTTTGTTTCTGAGTCTACTTTGCTGTTAACTCTACGTCAGTGAGTTTGTATCAAATTATTTTACAATTCATTTTGTATTCTGTTCTATCGAAAATACATTACGGCATAACTACAACGTATTATTGGTTTCCGTCAACAATGAGCAAACTTTGAAGATGTGTTTTTTCCCTGTGAACTATTTGTTGGTAGGCAATTGACTATAATAGACGCCACCAAATTCTCTATCCTTACTTGGATGCTTGGATGGCCCGTCCTCACTGGTTGTGTGAGCCTCAGCATAATCTCCATTTTTTCGGAGTTTTGTGGTTAAACCATTGTGGTTCACTGGAGTCCCGAGGTCAGCGTAGCCAAAGTTTGCCCCAGGTCGTCACCACCACAGACAGTCGCGTCCTTGTGGATCGGAGGGAGATTTGATACCGTGTGACTAGTTTGGTACCAGGACGGTGGTGGATTCGGGTGTTGGTTTGCTCTTAGTTGGTCTACTTGGTGGAAACGCCGGACTCCTCAGCTTTGGAGAACCTCCTGGCGCGTTAAATCCCCCCGCTGCACATCGCAACCCAACATCCAGGAACTCCTCCTAGCCACTATGAGGCGGTAAACCGTTGAGAGGTATTCTCTATTCGGTCTCTGTCAAATGGCGGAATGTGCTGGTGAGAAAATTACTAGAATAATTGAAAGTTTGTGATAACTTCCTGGCTGTAAATACGAGAAAAGAGAGCTTTCGATTTACTCTGATGTAGTTTCTGTTGTTGTTGTTACTGCATCCTTAGTCCGACGTCTATCTCTAGCACTCATGGGAGGGCTTCTGCAATTGTGAGTTACCATGAATCATGGTGATCATTGTGACAGATTCAAACAACTTTTAACCTATTAATTCTCCTCAGTTCCACTGTTCCCGGCATGAAACTTTCCAGAGACGTTCCCGGGCGGTCGTAGTCCATCCAGGTTTAGTCTTTTTAAAATAACCTTGAAATTCTAGCAAACCAGTCGTATTTGTCCTGCCTATGCTATCGTATGCATAGCTTTTCTGACTAGGAGGAAGAAGGCTCATTGCTTTTAGGGCTTTTGGCGGCCTACGGGTAGTCTGGCGGAGCATATCATGGTAGCTGAGTGGTGTTGTGTATTTTTTTCCGAGTGACTTTACTTGCTGGATCTAGCCCGATCGATGTGTCAGATACCGTACGCACATGTGTACGCATGCCTATGTACATATACGCACAGGAGGTATTTGTTGGATGCAACACATTAGAGATATAGAATTCACAGCCTAAATCTGCCACATGATACTTGGTGTTTCTTTATGACCATAAAACAGACTACCCTTGCATATCATACTATATAGTTAAAATTTAGTCTTTTGAACGCACTTGAATTCAAGGAATGACTCGGATTCATGAGGAATGGTTCACGCTCCCACGGATCTCCCTCATATGGGGGAACTCGAGGCGGTTATTCGCGAGGCTGTGGCGCGTCCCCAGGTGGCGGATAGAGGTTAATGCGGGCCAGAAGCGACCCTTGCTTCCTTGAGATGCATGCCGATCCAGGAGATGGACTCCCTCTTTCTGCTGCATCGATTTGCCACATACTTTCAGTAATTGCTTGGCGTATTCATGCATGCGTGTGTGGGTGCGTTCTCGCTAGTGCGGATTGTATTCTACGAGTTAATTTGCCAAAAGCCTGCAATCAAATGACACGGAAGTATATGGTAGGCGATTAGGAGTCACCTCCAACAAATAAGCTCCATGTCCACTTTGGGACAGCCTGGCAAGCTACCAGTGAATATACCCGGCCCCACGTTCAGAGCCCAGTAAGCTATACGTGGGTATCGTTGCTAAACATAGTAAAGAAAACGGGCCTCATTCCCCTAACCCCGGAAGAACCTCCAATCTCGCAGCGTTGGATAGGACGAGTGCGGAGAGGCTGCTCAAATCCCAACGCCATTGGAAGCTGCCTGGATTACAAGGAACTATGGTGACGATCTGTACCTACAATGCACGTACACTTGCATCCGAGTCCTCGATAGAAGACTTGCTCTTGCAGGCAAGAATGATAAGGTACGACGTCATCGGCCTGGCCGAGGTGAGACGACGCCACCCATTCGACGATGTCTATGACACCGGAGTAGAACTGTTCCTCGGAACATGCAACTGTAGAGGAGTCGGCGGCGTTGGCGCTCTCGTCAACACGAGTTTGTCAATGAATATCGATTCATTCGAACAACTTACAACCCGAATCGGGTGTTTACGATGAAGAAGAGGTGGATCAATTCCGGCTTTGACAATCTTCGTAGTTTACGCGCCAACATCAAACTATGACGATGAAGAAGTTGAAGCGCTCTACATGGACTTGGAGAATCTCTACAGAGACGACCAAACATTCTTCAAGGTCATCATTGGAGATTTCAATGGCAAGATTGGACCAAGAAGAACGTCACATTGGGACCCACCGATTAGAATAGAGCGAACAGGATGAGCGGCTATCGAGTTTATCATGGCGACCAAGACAATCCATGGTAACTCGCAATTCCAGAAGCCCCACCCACAGCGCCGGACGTGAGAGTTTCCCAATGGAGAGTACAATAAAGAAATAGACCACATCGTAGTAAATAGAAGGTTTTGTCTAACTGATGT